GCTAGCTATAGCAGTAGCGCACTTTACTATAGAGCGCTACTGCTATTCAGGTTAGCTGTAGCGCTTTTCGGGAAATGCGCTACAACTATCCCTACCTTATCCCCACGTGCACGACCGGCCCTCTCACTCTCGCTCGCGTAAATCGTTGTCGTGCGTCGCCGCCGCCGCCGCCTTCGTCCGTCTGCCGCCGAGGTACTCCCCTCCTTCCGTCCCTCCTCCATCCTCCTCGCACATCCTCCCTCCTCCTGTGGCCGCCCCTCCCTCCTCCGCCGCCGCCCTCCTCCCTCCGCCTGCGGCCGCCCCTCCTCAATCCTCCGCCGGCAGCCCTCCTCCCACCGCCCTCGACCTCGCCGCCCCTAGCTACCTCTCCGTCGCCCCCCAGCCCCTGCCACTAGTTAGTACTAGATTTAGTAGTAGTAGACGTTAATTTAGGGTTAGCTAGTACTAGATGTTACTTAGTTAGTACTAGATTTTTAGTAGTAGTAGTGGTAGTTGAACTACTTTAGTTGTTGTTGAACTAGTTTAGTAAGTAAATTAATAAACTAGTTGAACTAGTTGAATTAACAGAACTAATCTATTTTTAGTAAGATAATTAATATAACTAGTTGAACTACTTTATTTTTAGAAAGAACTAGTTTTTTTCTATTTATAGTAAGTTTATATTTAGTAAGAACTAGTTGAATTAATAAAACTAGTTGAACATGTCATGTTTGTTGTTAGTGATAACTTATATGGTTTCAGGTGACCTCCATCGTCCCCGTCACCGACCCCTTCCGACATCCCCGCCGTCGTCCCAGTCACCGACCCCATCCGACATCAAGCTGAGACCAGCCAAATATCCTTGTATATCTTGTGTTGTTGCTCAAATAGGATATGTGGTTGCCCAAGTGGCCGTTCATGTTCAGTTTACATCTCCGAGTGGCCTATGTTTTGCCGGAGTGTTGATTAATTTCCGTTCCGGCAAATTTTAGGCACTCGATATGTCCTTTTTTAGCAAAGGTCATGCCGGATTTTGTCGTGAATTCTGGCATGACTTGTGCTAGAATATGTACAAGTTTAATCTTTGAATTATGATTGTAGGAAATGTCGTACTCGGATGACGACGGTCTCCCGGGGGAGTGTAGCTGGTGCCACGACGATCGAGGTATGTGCGACAGGTTCGTTCGGCTGGACGAAGATCGGCGCTTCAGCATTAAGCTCGAGGAGACATTCGATTGTGAAATGGTACGCAACAACGACAAGTGTTTTTTTCTCCATTAAGCATGACTTCAACTATTTCAACGTCTAATTTTCATATTTTACAATTCGACTAGCTTATCCCATGCCATGTAAGACGCTATGTCTTGGAGAGGATGGGTTTTGAAGACCATGAAAATTTCGAAACAAAGAAAATACACCTAAGGACCCATCATGATATGGATTTTGAAGTAAATCTGTGCAATGCTCAGAGCGTAACCCATTTTGGTTGCCAAAATTGGGAAGCACTTTGCAAAATGTATGTTTTTTATGAGGGTATGATTGTCACCATGGATCTTGGTGATCCTGACAGCGAGGAAGACAATATGGACATTTGGGTCCTTGTTGATACGCTTCCGATTGTACCGCTATGTGAGTTTCTCAAACATAGTTATTAACTAATTTATATTGTTTATTTCAAAATAGTTGATAGCTTATTTCCATTGACAGCTTATTTTGATTCTTCAAAGATTGTGTGGAAGATGGTAGATAAAACCCACTACACCGAAGGCACCCAATTAACGTATAAGGCGAAAAATCATCTGATCACATTTTGTACTCTTCTTGAGAATTACAATGACTATTATGGAACTCCTCCAAATTATGGTGAATACGTGCCACTAGTGCATGTGTTGAACAACGATAACTTCTCTGGAGATACCCTGGTAAGATTTTTTACTATTAAGACATCCGTGCATGTTTTGCATACTTCCAAAACTAGTACATCATTGCTAACTACGAAGTTATTATTATGTTGTTCAACAGAAACTACCGATGGATTGTGTGCCTCATCTGATGTCTCTGCATGGTCGCCTCTCAGTTCTGAACATACTGCCAGGTAAATCTACGGAGCTCACCTGTGCATATCAGATTTCTAAAACCTGTGAACACATGATCATCAGAGAATGGAAGAAATGTATGGACATTCGCAAGGAGGTTCTTGGAAGTAACATTCCATGAAAGGCAAGAATTGGAGACAGGCTAATCTCCATTCTCCATAATGGAGAGTTAGGGGCTATCTTGTTTTGTTATTTTACCTTAGAAAATGTAGTAGGTCTTAATCGAATGTAATAGGTCCTATGAGGTACAATATGCTTATTATGTAGTAATGTGTTAGAGTTGATAATGATGATCTTGAGGAGGTGTTATGTGATGTCAATGATAAAAACGATGATATTGAGGAGGTGTTATATGACAATGATGTATTTTGATGCTAAGTAGTTAATGATATGATGATGATGATGATATTATTATATCATTGGGTGAAAGAACCGCGGATTAGTTTCAAGTGGATGGACATCCACTTGAAACTAGTCCACGATTCTTTCACCCCATGATGTAATAACTCATTATGATGTAAACACAATCTCTAAATTCCTGTTGTATGAAGACTTGTGTACAGGTGTATGAATACAACATGAAAAGAAAAAGGAAAGAAATAAAATACTAAAAAATAGTAGTAGCGCGGGTAAGGAGAAGCGCTACTACTAGTTACCAGTAGCGATGTTCTGATGAAGCGCTGCTACTAAGTCAATTTAGCAGTAGCGTGGGCCAAGACGCGCTATTGCTAAGCATTAGCTGTAGCGCCTTATCAGTAGCACTCCTGCCCGCGCTACTGATAGGCCCAAAACCCGCGCTGCTGCTAAGCTTTTCCCTAGTAGTGGTGGCACAAGATTCAGCCCGGTCCAATTCGGTTTTCTACATGAGCCAAGCCCATTAATTCATCCCATTTATATATTTTTTCCTATGAATTTTTTGTCAGCTTAATGGACCAAGCCCAACATTGCAGCCTTTTTATTTTGGGGCCATGGCCTTTTTGTCTCAACAATTTCATTTTTTTTCTTTTTTTCTAAATTGGGTTCACTAGTCAGGTGGGTCCCCATTGTCAGGTTCTAGTACTGGGTCCTAGCTATCAGGGCAATATTCTTCATTTTTTTATTTCATGCAAATAAATACCTGGTATTTAAATTGGCACACAGAAAACACATGAAATACTTCAAATGTTATCAACCATCAAAGTGCTATATCATATAACACACATACAATGTGATCAACATCAAGTTTACAATCATATAACAAGCTCCACAAGTGTACAATGAAGGATGACACATACAATCAGCATTACAACCTGAATTAGCATTACAACAAGTTTACAAATCAGCATTATACTGCTCCTAGATCCATCATGCATTGCTTCTTCCAACTTCTTCATCCTGGAGCTCATGACAAACATGAATAGAGGCCACCATCTGCATGTTATAAACCAAAATGGTCAGGAACAAAATAAATTCGAACATGTTAACCTTTTGGCATAAATAACAATAGAACAATCAAAACAAGGCTACAACTAGAAGGAGCAAGCTATTTTGTATTTGAGAAACAGAAAAAAAGTGCATCAAGTATTTCTCAGAAGGTAAATGAACTTATGTGCACGCATTTAGACAAAAACAAGAGCTTGCACTGTACACATTAATTAGAACAGGATCGCAAGACACCTACACAAGCTAGAAGGACTCTTTCAATTTAAAAAAAAGACATTTCAAACTTTTAACAGGCGTAATCTGGAGTTTGACAAGTACACATTAATCTTAACAGAGCATCACTGGCTTTGTTGTTGTTTGCATATTATACGGGTAGTTGTCCGCCTAAACAAACACAAATGTGCAATGCTTGAGATACAGGTATGCAGGATCAACACGCAATGCAATGATAGTCTGAGAGCACATAATATCTCTCGAAGTGATACATACAACAATAGGTTGTGTATATGTACAACAATGAATAATACGTACAACAATATCTGGAACACAGGTAGGAACTAGTATGGTTGCTTGTTGTTCATGAATGACAATCATTTGTGTGCGTACATCAAAAAGAAAACAGAAGGATTCAATTCAATTCGTCTTACCCATATATAGCAACCAATAGACATCTAATATCATTGTATTAGAGCAAAAGAGAAGTCCAGAATTCCCAAAAGGTTGCATTCTCACAAAATTTCAGATTCATCTAAGTGAGAATAATGGATGTCACCTGCACCTCGAGTCATTACTCGCGAAGTACTACAGGAAGCGTGCCTCCACCTCGTATGACAGCTGAAGAACCTGCTCAAAATTCCATGGCATATACAAATATCAATTCATTCTGTTTGTTTCTTGTAGGTATGAAACTTCTGTAAGAATTTGTAAGATGACATTACTTTGTCCCACGTGCTGAACTATGACCTATTCACCTTCTGCGAGAAAAGGTCCGTTGCTCGCTGTTACTCCGACACCTGAGAGAGCATTTACGTGTCAGTTGCACACAGCAAATTACACATCAGTTTAATCATATGCATCAATTTTGTTACAAGCTTTTCTTCAGAGTTGGGCTAGTCTGTTGCTACTACTGCAGTACTATCAGTGCACATCACCGTAGTCTACATCTGCAGCTGCCCATTCACTAGAACCACATAGATCAGTAGCTGTGCTATTTGATATTAGTTGATAGTATTCCTAATAATCATAACAAAAAATACATCTAATATCAAGTAGCATGGATGCACTAAACCCCGCCTCCAACCAGCTTAACCCTAAGCAGCAACTCAGTCTCAAGCCTATGTAAATGTGTTCATATACTGTACTGGATAGCAATTAGAAGACAACTGAAGCCTGGTTATTATGTTACATAGCCTTCTTATCATTCATTTATTTGTACAAGCTGGGATTCATCTTCTATGCACTAGGTAGCTCTTAGATCTCTAGCAAACAACGAAATGTACTGTACTAGTTAGAAATTAGCAATCTGGTCCACCTCAATCTTACCTCCGGCTCTGTGTACAGTTGCTCAGCTCCTAGCTGCTGGCCTTCTATGCTGCACATCTCTAGTCCCCAGTGCCAGGGTGCACACCTGCACACTGCCATCCGCCAAGGAGACTGCTGCCACTGGCCGTGGTGACTGGGCGCGGTGGTCGGCACCGGCGCAGAAGCAGCTGGGCGCAGGCACGCAGCCATTGGAAGCCTACTGGGGAAGGATGCAGCTTCCGTCGAGAAGTAGGACGCGGAGTTAACATGACCAGATCCATCGAGTTGAAGAGCTCCGGCGGGATCTCGGTCAGATTCCAGAATCCAGTGACGTTCTTGCATGATCAAGGTCAATTGAACAGCCACTAGTAAGATGACTTGATAGATACACACGTGTAGGGAATCTGCCAAAATTGAGGTCAATTGAACTACCAAAACATCCTATATTTAGGAACAGAGGGAGCAATATCAATATCTGCACATGGCTACAGCTTATAAAATATGCAGAATGACTACAAGAATTGTTCGTGGAACACCTTGTGGAGCAGCTAAATTTTCAACAGTCAACTAGCCAAATATTCGGGAATTTGAACTTCGATTGAATTGCATATGACATCAAAGTAAATAGCAGAGGCAAGCTGTGGAACATATAAGATTTAGAGAAGGTGAATTTTCAGTGTGTGCAGTCACACGTCATCTGACATTGAATGGACAACTAGATCACCATAACATTATTGTGCAATTGGCATCATAGAGGAATTATTTGGCACCATATAAGTATCACCACATGTTAAGATGACATATGCAAGTGGAGGAGCACCGCAACTCAGTGGAGGCACACGTAAAAAATTCATCCATGAGATTTGAGAGTGGAGAGGAGGAAGGGAAGGCTCACATATATAGTACCTGATTTTGTCATGCCAACGCCGCTGTCGATGATGGAGAGCGTCTTGTTGGGCTTATCGGGGATGAGGCGGATGAAGAGCTCCGGCTGGCGTCGAGCTTGCTCTTGTCCGTCAGGCTCTCGAGCCTGATCTTGTCAAGCGCCTGCAAGCAAAGCAGAGCAGCATTCGCGTTTGAGCAAATCGAGCCACCAATCAATCATCTCTGACTCTGACGACAAATGAACAAACAAGGCAGAGAGAGAAGCAGAGGAAACAGAGGAAGGAAGGAAGGAAGGAAGAGAGGAGTACATCTGATGAGTTGGAGATGAGCTCGCGGAGGAAGATCTCCTTGTTGGAGTAGAAGGTGTTGTTGATGAGAGAGAGCCGCTGCCCATCTGCATGTTCGTTGCCATCGCCTTCCGCTGCTGCTACTTGTCGAAGGAAACTTTGGGGAAGATGGGTGGATGGATGGGCTCCGCCACGCCCGCGACCTACGCCGTTGACCTGCGCGGCGCGCTCCACCGCGGCCTTGGCGTACGCGTAGTAGAGGAAGCAGAAGTCAGCGTTGCGCTCAGGATCGTCGTGGGCGCGCACGAGCTCCACCTTGTAGAGCTCGGCCATGAGCCCAACAACCCCATCCCCCACAACGACATGGTCAAGTCGAGCGAAGGTGGATGGCCTGGTGGAGAAGGGAGCGAGGGGCTCGGGCTGGCGGAGGGCCTGGTGGAGGGTGGGCGTCGCAAGGACAAGACGACAGGGAGGGAGGGGACGGGATCGAGAGGAGCATGTGGGGAAGGGAGGGGGTCGGAGTGGCGATGCTCCGCCAGATGCCGGCTGGAGCAGGAGCATCGGGGTCGATGGGGAGCAGCAGGAGCCTAGGTTGTGCGTGCGCGGGTAGTAGAGGGGCTCGCCGGTGGCTCACCGAGGGAGAGATCCAGGAGGGGATGGGGAGGGAGGTGGCAGCATGATCTAGAAGGCGAGGAGGAGCGGGTGGTGGCGTGCGGGCGCTGGCGGTGGGATCGGCTGAATTGGGGTGGCGGCTGCGAGGAGTGCATCTGAATCGAGAGAGAGAGGGGAGAGGAGTGGAGTTAGGGTTTGGTTGCGGCGGCGAGAGAGGGGACGAGGGAGGAGTGGAGTTAGGGTTTGGGTGCGGCGGCGAGAGAGTGGGGTATCTCTTTTTTATTTATTTATTCTGTACATAGATGGATGTATGGATGTGGAATGGAGAGATGGATGTGCGCCACGTCATCGATCCGTGGGAAGAGTTGTGATTGGTTCGGAAAATCAATGATTTAAAATAGTTTCAAGTACTCAAAATAGAGGGATTTTGTGAAGCAGCTATCAAAAATATTTTCTAGAAGGGCAGCACACAAATTTTCACTCGAGTTAGATCGCATTTTATGGACGAGGACCAATTTGTATGCATTTTTGATATTTCTAGCTATTTTTCATCATTTTTCGAGTGCCCAAAATGAGTTTTTTTTTGAAGGAGCTACAATATATTTGTTGCAAAATTGGACCAAATCAATTTTCTAAAATAATAGGACATATTTAACGCACAATTGATCAAATGGTTGGGTGTCAAAAGTTTTTATCCACCACTCGTGAAAAAGACAAATTTCCGTCGATTCAGCTGGAAGCGGGTCAAATTTGAACTGAAGCTGCCTCATAGTTTGTTATTTATTTTTTCCAAAAATCATTTCTAGGTACGTAAGTATCTATTTAATCAGAGAAACACCAAAAAAATTCCAAGATTCAACCACTAGCTAGGAACGGTCAAGCCGTCCGTTTTGACCGCATTTTGAAACAGGCATAAAAATTCAAAAAAAATCAAAAAATTGGAAAACCTTCGCATTGTGTCATTATATGTGACCAAGTTTCCAGGAAAAATAATAAACTTGTAATATGGTAATTGTTTTAAAAAAGTGTTCTCAGAAATGAGCTATCAAGTGTGAAGATTCACGACTTTCAAGCCAAATGATCAATCTTATGGCCACATTCATGGCATAGTTTGTTCAAATGATCTCATATTGTGCACAAGGGTGCATATTGGAATGGCAAACAATGTTGCCTAAGGAAGTTTTAATTTTCTGTGGACGAAAAAACAATTTTCCATTTTCCGAGTGCCTGAAATGAGTTTTTTTGTGAAGGACCTACCATATATTTGTTGCAAAATTGGACCTAATCAATTTTATAAAATACTTGGCCATATTTAATGCACAATTGACAAAATGGTTGGGTGTCAAAATTTTTGATCCACCTCTGGTGAAAAAGACAAATTCCCGTCAAGTCAGCTGGAAGTGGGTCAAATTTGAACTGCAGCCGCCTCATAGTTTACTCTTTATTTTTTCGAAAAATCATTCCTAGGTAAATAAGTATCTATTTAATCAGAAATACATGGTTTGATGGCGAGACATCAAGGTTTGGACGGTGGCCGAGGGCCCCAACACTAGAGCGCGTAAGCTCGCATGCCCGCCGCGTGGTCACTGCGTGACTATGGCGTTGCCATGTGGTCTAGGCGGCCTAGGCATGTCTAGTGGGTTGGGCACTCCCCAGGTAGGTGCTAGGAAGAAAATCACAACATAAGATTCGCACGAGGAGACCGATCGATGCTCAAACATGAATAAGCAGCCAAGTGTTTGATTCGCAATACAAGAAATGCACATGGCTAATGGGCGTGAGTTTTGGCTGAGGATGATCAGTTAGTAAGAAGGCCGTCTTCACAAATTTTCACCTCAAAAGAAGGAGTCTAGGTGGTACTTGCTTTACAAAGTACCACACTGGACATAAATACGAATGTTGAAGCTGAGCTCAAAATAATGAATGGATTGAGCTGGCATTTGGTGGAGGATGTTTATTTGGGCATAGGAAAGCACTATAGAAAATGGATACCATTTGGACATGCCGAAGTGGTACTTCCTTCACAAAGTGCTTCTCTGAACAGAATAGGAAAATGAATATTTTTGAATTATTTTTGAACTAGGCAAGGAATGTTTTTGACATATTTGATGAAGATATGATCCAAAACATTTATGAGAATTTTGTGGGAATTTTTGGAATAACAGAAATATAGGTTGCTTCACAACCTAGGGCAAAAACTGCCACATGGACATGACACATAGGCAAAACTGATGAGATGGCGCCTAGTCATCACACCCCACTAGAATCTACAAGGCTATGACCATCTATATTGGTCGTTAAAAACTAGAAATAAGGCAGTGGACTAGCACTGTTTGCTTTGTGACCATTTCGTTTAAGGAAATTACGACCTTTCTGACCAAAATGGTCGCAATGGTTTAGGGTTTGGAGCCCCCCGAACAGCTTTTGACCAATTGGTCTGAAATGGTCATAGATCTATGACCAATTCTTCCAGGGTCATTGACAGAAGGTCACTAGTTGACATATTTCTTGTATTGTCATGGTACATGTGAATTGTGCTGCTGTGTAGAAAGGATGAAGCAATGACAGCGATCAAGCGCTGGTGATGTGCCTTGAACTACGTCGGTATTTCCCCAAAGAGGAAGGGCTGATGCAGCACAACAACGGTAGGTATTTCCGTCAATGATGATACCAAGGTTATCGAACTAGTAGGAGAACCAAGCAACACTACGTAAACGGTACCAACACACAAAGAACACATACTTGCAACCCGACGTGTTAAAGGGGTTGTCAATCCCTTTCGGGTAACGATGCCAGAAATTGTCACATTGACGGGATAAAAATTGTGATAGATTGGATGAATAGATCTTGATAAAACGCGAATAAAATAAAGTGCAGCAAAGTATTTTTGGGTTTTTGGAAATATAGATGTGAAAATAAAAGCGAATAAAAGCGAATAAAAGCGAATATGATAAAGAAGAGACCCGGGGGGCGTAGATTTCACTAGTGGTTTCTCTCGAGAAAACTAGCATACGGTGGTTAAACAAATTACTGTTGGGAAATTGATAGAACTTCAAATAATTATGATGATGTCCAGGTAATGATCAATATATGGGCATCACGTCCAAGATTAGTAGACTGACTCTTGCCTGCATCTACCACTATTACTCCACACATCGATTGCTATCCGGCATGCATCTAGTGTATTAAGTTCATGGAGAAACGGAGTAATGCAATAAGAACGATGACATGATGTAGACAAGATCTATCCATGTAGGAATAGACCCCATCTTGGTATCCTTAATAGCAACGATACATACGTGTGATTTCCCTTTCTGTCACTTGGATTTAACACCGTAAGATCGAACCCATCACAAAGCACCTCTTCCCATGGCAAGAAAAATTGATCTAGTCGGCCTAACTAAACCAATGATTTGAATAAGAAATACGAGGCTTTAAGTAATCATGCATATAATAGATCAAAAGACTCAAATAACTTTCATGGATAAAAACATAGATCTGATCATAAACTCAAAGTTCATCGGATCCGAACAAACACACTGCAAAAAGAGTTACATCAAATAGATCGCCAAGAGACCATTGTATTGAAAATCGAAAAAGAGAGAGGAATCCATCTAGCTACTATCTACGGAACCGTAGGTCTACAATGAACTACTCACGCATCATCGGAGAGGCACCAATGAGGATGATGAACCCCTCTGTTGAGGATATAACTACTGAGTGTAAACCGCCCAGGAGGGGCCGGTTCACGCTCATCCATATTGAAGCACATGAAGACAAAGAATATGGCGCTCTACCAATAAATCTTAGAGGCCCAGAGCCCAAAGGCGGATTAGGGCCCATAGTTGTAAACCGCCATAGTTGTCTAACTTGTATAGTAAGACATGGACAGGAAGAGACCGAGCCAGACACTTGTATGAGCGGGCCTCGGGACAATATAAACCGACCTAGCGTCAACCTGTGTATATAAGGGGACGACCCGGCGGCGGTTCAGGGACAAGAAACAACAAGTCGAGACTCAGGCAAAGCGTATTCGCTCCCTGATCATCGAGACCCGAATAATTCCATCACAACTAGACGTAGGCTTTTACCTTCATCGTAAGGGGCCGAACTAGTATAAAACTCTCGTGTCCCTTGTTCCGGTTTAACCCCTTTAAGCTAATCTCGTTGTGATGGCTCCACGACTAAGTCCTTATTTTAGGACATCTGATGTGTTAATTCCACGATAGTTGGCGCCCACCGTGGGGCTATCGCATGATGGTTTCGAATTCTTAAAGGGCAACTTTGAAGGACTCAAAGGGTACGTGGTTCGCCGAATGACCAAGAGTCATCGCGACAAGATCTACATCGACGACGCACGCTGGGGCCCCGAGGCCGGCCCAATCGAGTACAGGTACCTGGTCCCCTTTGGCAGAATTCATGTCTTCATCGGCAAGATCGGCGAACCGGGCCCTGAGCTGGACATCTCCACCGACCTCGTCGAAATGTCTCAGCATGCAAGTCCCGCCCGGGTTCTGCCTACCATGAAGCGTGCGTTCTTAGGGTTCATCCATGGTGCGGAATCTGAACCGGTGTCCGACGGTGAGACAGCCATCTACTCAGATGGTGAATCCTCCACTGGCGAACCTAAGTCGATGTACCAGTTGCAGGATGGCCGGTTTGGGGGATGTTCCGATGGCAACAGTATTTCAGCCCCTTTGAACCGTCAAATCGGGTTGCAGTCTTCATGGACGGTACGCAGCCCACCGTGCAATCTTCATCTACAGCAGCAATGATCTCTGGATTGGCAACAGCGGCTGGAGGCCCGGCGCATTGGCCGGTTCAAGTTCTTGCTGGTTTGTTGGTACTTTGAACACGTTGTTGACCACGACAGTCACCCCGGAGACCCAAGTTCAGCACAATGCAGATGTGGCAAAGCTAAAGGATCAGATAACTCGAGCTAAGGCGGA